ACGAGTGGTTGGAACGGCGTCGTCGGGGTTTCATTGTTGTCTGCTCCGTGTTTCCGGATGCTGGGGCGCGAGAGGCACGTAGGAAATTACGTTGCACGTCAGAGCGCGGTTTCGTGTTGCAGAAAGCGGCTGGTTTCACCCGACGATCGACGAAGCCGGGGAGGCCGCGACCTGCAAAGACGGAACAGAGACGACGCCGTTGCAGCGGCGTCTAATTCTCGACAAGGTTCGCGAAATTAAGCGACAACGATTCTCGGGTACCGAGTCACGCGAGACACGGGGGTGTTTCCGAGACACTTTACGGTGCTAAGGAAAAACATTGCGAATATTCTTAGAATTTCTACAAATTCTTCGTTAAAATACGCGTCGTTTGCCTTCTGAAACATTGGAATCCTTCGATCCGTTCGGGAGTTGTGATTTTTTAAAGATACGCAGGAAATTTCAGGGAAACATATCAATGGTATGGTCAGACATTATATTTTCGGTAAATAATTTTTTTCTCGAAAATGAGTAGGATTTCGGGGTTATGCCTATTCACCAAAAATGACTGTAATTGACCCCTGCAATCGAAAATAATTTTTCTAGAACGATTTGAAATTTTTTAATTTGGTCGAAAATTTGTCCACTTTCTGAATTTTTTTCTCGAAACTGCGTGGGATTTCGGGGGTATGCCTATTCACCAAAAATGATTGTACTTGACCCCCGCAGCCAGAAATAATTTTTTCACAACGATTTGAAATCTTTTTTTTTGGCCGAAAAATTTAGGCACCTACCCCCTGTCGATTTTTCTTAGAAATTCGTTTTTCATTTTTAATAAATTTGTTTGACGCGCTACGGAAAAGTTGTCTAATACTTTTTTGTAGGTACCCATGAGCTCTATTTCAGAAAAAAGTTTAATTGAAATATATTCACTATTGTAGGAGTTATGGCTGTTTGAAAATTGGACCACTTTTATGTGGTTTTTCTCACTTTACGGGGTCAAGGAACAACTTTTCGAATATTTTTACAATTTCTACATATTCTCCATCAAAATACGCGTTGTTTGCTTTTTTAAACATTAGAATCCTTCAATCCGTTCAGGAGTTATGATGTTTTAAAGATACGCAGGAAATTTCAGGGAAACATATCAATGGTATGGTCAGACATTATATTTTCGGTAAATAATTTTTTTCTCGAAAATGAGTAGGATTTCGGGGTTATGTCTATTCACGAAAAATGATTGTACTTGACCCCCGCAGCCAGAAATAATTTTTTCAGAACGATTTGAAATTTTTTATTTTTGCCGATAAATGTAGGCAACACCCTGTCGATTCATTCTCTTTTTATTTGTAATAAATTCGAGTCTACCGTTAAAAAATTGTTATTCAAGTACCAGAAGCGTGCTACAACGTCTCGAAAACGAGGATCCAGGAAACCGAAGATTTCGTAACAGTGGGATCAGAATGTTAATACCACTTCCGTTGTATAATTGATCTAATCTCGCGGGTCGACCGAGGGGCTTTCCTTTATTCGAGCTCGTGAACGAGGAAAATCGCCCTCGAAATTGCACCTCGACAGAAGCGACGAGATGGGAGCAACCTCTAAACAAGCATCGTAAAACACGGACGACCAGCTCTCTCGTGTGAGTCATAAAGCTCAACAATAAACCTGTGTCCCGGATGAGTGGTGGAAAAAAAAGGAACGCGTGGTTCGTAGGGGAACGTAAGATTCGTGTAAGGATGGTCGATCGGCAGCTACTTCGTCAGGGTTAAATGGCTAAGGAAAACGACGCTCGTCAAAGTAACACACGAAGAAATCGAAACCATACTCCAAAGACTGAAACAACTCGTACATTTTAAAAATCATTATTGACTTTACATTTTCTCACAATTCGGTGTATCGTGAGTTTACATTGACAGAATTCGCGGCGAACGAATGGACGAAACGAGGCGCGCGCGGATTATTTATACGGTTTGGTTGGCGAACTATTTATGGCGGGTATTTGTACGTTTCACGGGGAAAGAATTCGCGGCTCGGAGGGCCGATCGCGGGAGAAATGCCTCGCGATCCTTCTTCCCCTCGGCGCGAGCACGAGGATTCGGCGTTGCCCGGGGAAAGAGAAATTGAGTCGTCGCGAGAGCGAAGTTACCGCGGGAATCGTCCGGAATCTCGACGGAAACGAAACTTCGACTCAACCATTTGGAAGTCAAATTTTATCGCGATCCGCCGCCTACTTTCCTCGAGGGTTTCTCGCAGACAGGAGCTGGGGGAAAGTAAGGGGTGGGAGGGGAGAAAAAGACCGAGACGAAGCTCGAAGTCTCTGCGCGACGCGCGTCCGTCGCGTAAAACTCAATTTTCGGGATCTCTGGCCGTCGATCGATCGGCGAGAAATCGCTCTCGGATCGTAGGACCGTCGGGGACCGTGTCGTCGAAACGGTTCGAAAAAATTCGACGAACCGTTTTTCCAACGAACGTCAACTTTTTCTCGCGCACGCGACGGAACGAATTCAATTTCCACCCCTATCGTCGCCCCCCCCCCTCCCCCCCCCCTTTCGCTCGTATCGATAGTAAATTATCGAACGTAGTCGCGAATTTGCTTCCGGCAGAACCCATCGCTGGAATTTGCAAGGCAATAATTCACCGCATCCATGGCAATCATTGCCATGAGCGTAACAAGCTGAAAATTTGAAACCCGATTGATATTAGGGTATCATTGAATCGGTGTATCAGCTTGCGAACCGATACGCGATATGACGTTTACATGCACCGGCTAACCGCGGCACCGAATTCCCACAATTATTCCGTTGAGCATGATCGTCGATTACGGGCTAAATTCTTTCCCGCCCGTTTCTCGTCTCCTTTTCCATTTTAACGCGTTCGATCGAAGACGAGAGTCACCGTCTTTAAAAATCTCTCGTGGTCCACACGGTTTTTAATTAAACTATTAAACGTGCAAATACTTTAGCGATCTTCTGGTACCCATTTGCAATAGATGTATCGTTGAATTATTTTTTAATCTCGCTCACGGTTGTCTCAGGACCCATGTTTGGACGTTTTGAGCCTCGAAAAGACTTTTGCATCGTTCGATTCGCGATCGCGGGTGGTAAACACCGACTGGAGAAGAATTATTTTCCAGCGAAGTCGTTTGGATCGCGCCTATGTGCCGGCGCGTTAATAATTCAATGACAAAGAGCCGGATCGCGGCGGTGCCCGTCGACCGTGCAAATTCGGAACGTTATCCGACGTCGACGCGAATTATTAATAACGCTAACACGATCGTTCTACCAGCGTCGCTTATTCCGGTCACTCGCGCGATCTTCGACGTCCCGTGACACCGATGAAATCGCGTTTCCAAATCCAGCCAATATGGCGTCCCTCGATCGATCACACTTTCACGAATTCCCAGCACAATCGTATTTTTAATTATTCCACGTGTGTTTTACAGATTATTGTTATTCATTTATTAACAAGAATAGTAAATGCTTGGCGTTTGTGTAAAAGAAATTACTTATCGAGCCAAGGGAGCAGCGTTGATACAGCCTTTTAGAATACAAAAGAGAAACTGTTGCCTGTCCGTGTCAAGAGAAAAGGGAAACAGTAAAAAGAGAGGACGATCTAATTCATTTTCTATGGAGAGAAAACTTCAAGAGAAGAAAAGAATAACGACTGCGGAAATACCGGTGGAGGATATAAGAAACGATAAAATAGCACGTTGGCCCATCCACTCTGACAAGATGGATGCCAGAAAAAGCGGAGCGGCGACTCTTAAAATAAAATCCTCAAAATACTGTATTATAAATCTCCATGCTTCGAAGCTACGAATCATTTTAATAAAATAATTTACCAATTTATCCATTGTTTTTCGTTCTTCCGCCAGCCTGTTTTCGCCTAAACTCGAGTCCCGAATCGATACACGATAAATTCCTCGATTCATTAAATGGCGAAAAACCGTTATCAGTTTATGAAATTGTCTATTCCGCGGTTCCGGAAGCCCGGCGTGAAACGTTAATGAAATTTCCAGTCGATCTTCGTACTTTGTCTCCGTACTTGGAGTTAACGGAATTCTCGAACAAATAACGAGTGAATAGAGTTTGCTTAGCCGGGGAATGCGTTCCACACAGCGTCGCGACTGCTTTGAGCTTGTTATACGTAGTTTCCGACGATTCGAGCAACGATCCGGGGGAAACGAAACTGTCTATATCCCGTCGCGAGGGCGCAGCGACTCGATTGTTACCGAATTTTCGTGCAAAGCCTCCACGGATCGCCCAGACACACGTAAATCCGGAAATAGTTGGCCTCAGCCACCGTCCGGGATTATTAATTGCAGGGAACACGATCGATCACGCTCACGGTTGTCGGGACTAGCCAGCTGATCTTCGATACACCTACGACCCCAGGGTTATTTTAATCGAACAATTAATTGCGCGTATTAATTTAACCACCGACGATCGACGTCGATAATGCTGACGCACCACATTCGTTCTCCCGTTCGCCACACGGGAATTTATTTTTATTTTCGCGCAACGGATATACCGAATTACTCCGAGCTTCGTTTCACACTTTTTTTCTCTTCTTTCCTCGACGGATTAAAAAAGGTGACAATTTTAAGACGGATCGCTACGGAATTAACTATCGACAATAACAGATCGAATTACAAACGAAAACATCACATCGGTGGGCTTTATTCCCAAGAATGTTCGTGGAAATTTTTCCTCCTGAATTCTGCACGCGAAAATTCCGTGGGAACGAGTTACGAAGCTTCGCGGCGGATTTTTCAGAAACGGCTCTATAGAATTTGGAGAAAAAAAATGGACGTGAAATGCGATGCTTCAATAGGAATTTCGCCCGGTCGAAAAAATTAGTTGAAAATTCGAATTTGTTCCGATGGTTAATTTTCTCGGAAGGTCGTTAATTTTTTTGGTTCTCGTTCGCGAACGCGGTTTAAAAAAATTATCCTTACGCGTTTAACCTCGTTGCAAAGTACTGAAAATATTTTTATCGAAATATTCCATGTTACATACCCGCCGCAATCGACCTCTGTTTAAGCAGCTTTCGCGGCGATCCGTGACATCTGTAAAAAGGAACAAATAATTTAGTACTAATGTCTTTTGATTGGCAAGAATTTAAAAAATTTAGAAGTTTCAACCATAGTTGTTTCGCGTTCGTCGTGGAAATGGTCGTTTCGTGATAAATAATGACCGTTCCAGGCGCGTGTTTTATTCTTTTCTGTTTGATTATGATACGTAACGGGCGTAGTGTACGGCGGAATAAACCACAGGGAAACAATGCCTGCGATGCCTCTAAGTAAATCGAGTTTCGATGGGCTGGTGCGCGCTGGGAACCGCCAAATTCCCCGCGTGCCGTTCCCCACGGCTTGCATTAAAACAATCTTGTTTCCCCGTGTCCGATACGGAATCATATTAAATTATAAACAGTTATTACGCGCGGGACGCCGCGGTCGACCGGCCAAATTAATAATGCAGTCGCGGGGCCGCGTAAACTCCGTTAATATTCCATTCGTTAAATTCGATTACGCGCACCGGCTAGTAATTTCAACGGTGTTGCTAACCCCCCCCTCCAAAATCCACCCCCCACACTCCCCTCCTCTACGTCACGTGCCGAATCTGCATAAAAAAGCACCGGAGGATTCACCGGTTTCCCTTTTCGACGCGACAAACATTTGTTCGCGATTAACATGCGAGCGACACGCGATCCTTTATCGCTGAAACGGTCGCACGTTCGTCCCCGCGGATTGTAATTTAATTGCACGGATATAATATCGCGTGTACTAATAATAATTATTATTATATATATCGAGGGATATAACCGTGCTGGAAATACGAACCGTCTGGTCCCGTTTTTCCGAAACGCGGCCGCTTTTTAGACAACGATTACTTCATTTTAGGATTTTAAGTAGAGGAAAAATGTTGCGTGCTTCGTTATAAAATTATCGACAATTCGTAAACGATGAGTAAAGTTTCAGGTAAGCGAACAAATATTTACTATCCGGTATGTAAACGATGGAACAGTTATTTTCAATTATATGTGAAATGCCAGCTACGTCAAATAAATCGATTCGGTTATATTCAAATTACGTAGCACGGGAAATGAAAGAGTGAAATATCATTTCGAACGATTATTTCTTATTTTCGTTTCAAATAAAATCCAGCCCCTGTTCTCTCGTACGCTTATATTTTATTAGAGATTCGAATTCGGTTAAAAATGGAGTCGACAAAGTACACTTTGGAGAGGATATTGCAAAGGGAACTTCGTTTTTCATTCGTAGGATATCGCTTATTGCTTTGTTAGATTTTTCGGTGTTCGGGGGAATAGAAACGCGAAAGGATCGGTCCATCGAGACATTCGTAAGACTAGCCTTTCGCGCGATGGCGTCCGTGTGTGAGCGGAGGTAAGCGTACGCTGCTAACGGTAGTATCTTTCAACCTGCTGGCCCCTTGCAGCACCATTAATCCGATATCGTATTAACTTGAGCATATCCTGGCTCTCTGGGTGTGTACCTTACGGTGGCATCGACTCGCGAAACGTGTGCATGCGCCAGACGCGATACCGCGAGATGGTGCGAAAAGACCAGCGACCTTTATCGTTCGCTGCCATCTTGGAATTCGCGAACGTACGCCGAACCTACGCTCTCACGTCGCGTCACACAGTGCACGAAAACGGCGATTTATAAGCGAAAAATGCACAAATCCTTGAACATTAATTTTAAAAATAATTATTTCGATGTATAAACGTTCCGATCCAAGCTGTTACGAAGAACTTAAAAGTGGAGTTGTATCGATTTCATTAAATAGCATTTGGTCTTGTATAGGTTCGGAACAGCAAATATTTACGTTACATGGATTCAAAACTCGTACACAAACTAAAACACAACAGTTGCAGAATCTATATCTCGTGTTTATATTCATAAATACAGGAAATATTATTATCCGATTCCCGTCGAGGCTACGCGTGGAATGATTTCATAAATAATGATTCACTCGCAGTTAATATACGCGTGCTCGATAAATTTTGAAACTGGGGTCGCTCGAGAACGAACCTCCGGGGCTGGGGAAAAATTTTATTCCACGCTTTCGACCTAATTTTTCCACGAGGAATCGCTCCCCTACTCGATCGTAACGTTCTCCGCGAAAAAAGCAAAATTCGGTTTGCCAAAGCTACGTCAGAAGTCGTTGAATTTTTTCAAATGTACATTTCATTGATGCTACATTCTCTTTTGATAACACAGCGATATGTCTGTGTATAAAATAATTTCGTTGATGATCGCGGTATAATTTTTGTAGGTTCGCGCAGTAAATGTGCGTCGGTGGGGACGTGGGAGTCGTGGCGTTCCCCTCGCGTCCCCGTACCCCCGCAGGAAAAAAATTCCTGCGCGGTACAATAGAGTAGAAAGTTGCAGCGGGAACAGCATAGGTCGCGATGTCAATCGAGATGCATAAGGCGGTAAACCTGCTCGCTCGTCCGAAGTTCAAGTTTGCCGGGCAACGTCGATGTTTAATCAGAGTATTTACCTTCACCGTGTTGGATTTCCCAAAGGATTATAAAGCCATCGAGGAGTCCAATCTCCTTGTATCCACACAAACCACGTGTGAATTACAATGTGCACGGTCGCGTTCGAGACGGTCCTTAATCGGTCGAACGGGGACGCTCGAAGATGTCGAGAGTCGAATGGTCCGATTGCGCCGACGAAAGCTATGAAAGCACTCTCTGTGCGGCTAGAGAATCGCGGACGATTACCTTCGAACGAAAACGTTCCAAGCTTACGACTGTTTGGCCCCGTTGGAGGAAACAGCTTCAAGCGAATGGTAGAGAAAAGAATCTTACAATTGGAATTCGAAAATTGTAATTAGAATTTGACCGAATGTCACACGCGTCGAGTACACGGCGAATCTAGATAAATGAACGTGTCAGGGGGAAGTTGGAAGATCGAAATGCAAGGAAGAAACGGAACGCCTTTTGAAACATTGTCGGGAAAAGGGACGAGAGACACGTGTAGAGCGGCAAGAAAATACGGCGAGACTTTTCGCAGAAGTCGTATTATTTTAAGAAGGAAACTCCGCTCGGACGGAGCACTTCGCGGAACTTTTCTGCTCCCTCTCGTCCCGCAGTCCCGGTTCCCGTATCGTTGCTTCTCTCTGTAATTAGATAACTTTTGATCCCTCTGTTTGAGCGCGGCGGGGGTAATACGAACAAACGTCTGCCGCTCGCAATTTCACTGCCGCGGCGAAACAGAGGCGGAACAAACATTGTTGCTGGGAAGACGAACGTACCCCGCGAATTTAATCAACAGAAGCGTCCGATTCTTTCGTTTTATTTCCATTTCTTTTATCTCCGCCTTCATTTTAGACGCGTCGCGTGCACGGATCGCTAATCGTAGTCGCTGCTCCTTCCGCGTCGACGCGTATTTGAGCGACATTAACCCGCGTTCCCGCTATCGATTCTGGATTTTAATTAATTTGTACGTCGCGTGTACGTGACCAGGCAACGTGCTCGCAAAAAGAGCGCACACAGTGTCAGCAATTTTCGACTACCGACGTCGTCTACTTCCTGAACCGTTATGAGCTCGATCGCTTCGGCTGCGTCAAAGACAGATAGCTCGACGCCATTTTTATTTCGATAATAAATTACTAACGAGACCAACGTACGGCAATTTATACACGACATTCTTTTTCTGCATGTCGAGTATAAATTTTCACTGAATTTTGTTGTCTTTGCCTTCGTTTATAATTACACGAGTCAACGTACAATGGAAATCGAGTGGTCTTAAAGCGAACGTAATCTGATGCAATTTATCTGTATAATTATTTGCAATATATTTGAAATAAATATTTACTTTTATAAGAAAGTATCGTCTAATCTTGTAACCTTTCCACAAAGTTTGAAGATCATTCTTTTGGATAATCACAGGATATCCAAAAGCGTTCGATGGCTGGTTTTTGACTATCTTGGGACCGATCAGGAATCCGTCGCGGGTCAATCGGGACGAGAATGGTTTAAAAAACGACTGCCAGGCTACGTTGGATATTAACCAATCGAGTTACATAACGTCGAAACAGCAGCACTCGGCGTATCGAGTTTGCCCGACACTCGTTTCCCGGGGTTTTTCGCCGTAGCCCGTGCCAGCAGAGTCAGCGGAAAAATTCAATTTTTAATTAATAGCGATACAGCCACTTCTGCACCGACCGCGCGGCCGTCCTTCCGAGCGATTTCGTTGTTCCGTAATTACGTAACGTCCGGCACGAAATTGCATCGCCCACGCGAATGCAGTCCACGTCGTTTCGCATCACTGCGAGAACGGTCGCGTTTCCGGTTACCCATTTTCTTCCGACTCGTATTTCTTTCCAAAATATCTCCATTGTTTATGGATAAATAAATGTTTCGCACGAAAGTTGTTTGGTACAAAGAAGAGCATACACGACACCTTGAGCCCTTTAACCATAATGTAGACATTTAACAACGTCGTTTGAAGGTCTGTTCTTATATAAAGGATCGACCTCTCGAGGTATATTACGCATGTTTGGTGCTACAAGCAGGATATTTCAGACGAAAGCTAACAACTAGTGACTCGGTGATCGGTAGAACATTGTCTATCGAATCTTAAGTACTGTATGAGCTGGTAGGCCAGCAGCGTTCTTTCCCCGAGGTTTTAGAGGCGGCTGTCGCAGGGGGCGAAAAGCACGGTAACGACTGCGAGGGGCATCTGAGCGCGAAAAGTCGTAGATGACGTCGATCATTGATAATCGATGTGTTATTATGTGCCGGGGACGGCGATATGAATTTAACCGAGCGTAGAGTAGGACAGCAGGCGTGACGTCACCGGCAGGGACGACGTCGAGGGAGGAAGACATCGGCGACGTCGGGTAAGGTGGAAGGTTTGAGGTCGGTCTGCCACTGACGTAACACGCGGAGTCTCGTCGGTTGAGAGCAGCCCCGAGGAAGGGGTGACTATAAAGAGGGAAGAGAGAGAGAGAGAGAGAGAGAGAAGCGCGAGAGGGCGGAGGACACTGACGAGCATCGGTATCGACCGACAGAGAGACGCGATGGAGCGTGTAG